GGTTCTTCATGTTTGAACTACAGGGTGCAACGAAAGTCCGTCCCACCCCTGTTAACTTTTGAACGAATTGAGCTAGGGAAATGAAACTTTGGGAATGTTCCTATCTCCAAGGGGACCATCTTTGGGGGGGAGGGGGGTCAAAATTTTGGTCTCCCCGTCAGGGGGGACGGGGGCCCCCAACTTTCTTTCAAATAGCAACCCCTATCTTGTGATACCTCATTCGAAAGAGCATAAAAAACTAAGAATTTTGGCGCAAACTGCAGATCAATGTCCTAATTTTGACCAAGTTATGATAGGTCAAAGGTCATTTTTGACCTATTTTCAAAAAATCATAACTCCGGTTCAAATTATTGTAAAGAAAAAAATAGAACGGGAAAATTTACCAAATTGTGTTCCTTTTTAAGTAAAAATTGCAGAAATCTCCTCAAACTAATTTTCAGGGGGGGGGGGGTTCGGACCCCCAAATACGTCAATTCAAAGGTCATTCAATTTTCCCACGAAATAAGCTAATTTCCTCTGGATTTGCATCCACATTATCTCAGTAAGGTCAAAATCAGTTCAACATTATGTTCGCAAGTCCACAAATTTTGGGAAAAGTTAAAAATATCGAGATTTAAATGGTCATAGATTTAATTATCTTAAATTTGGTTTTTTCCCGTAGGTCCCCCCTCGGGGGGCACCCCGCCGCCCCCCTNNNCCCCCCCCCCCCCCCGAAAGATGGTCCCCTTTGAGATAGGAACATTCCCAAAGTTTCATTTTTCTATCTCGAACCGTTCAAAAGTTATCACTCTACCAAGGCTACGATCAAATTACTCAAACAAGCATAGGCGGTTCTACGGGGGTGCCAGTGGGTGCCGGGCACCCCCAAGCAAAAATTCAGTACGGTTATCGGAACCGTGAAATTATAATGCTTTTAAAGATTTGCTCACACTGAGAAAAAATCTCAGCAATCAATTGAAAATTTTTTCAACAGAATTAATATTGATAGCCGTGTTTTACAAAGATTCTATTGTTTTGTTATGGTAAGATTGTGGTTTGATGGAAAGTTTTGCTAAAAATTTTCTACATTGAATTTATAGGTATTTAAGTAGAGAGGAAGGAGGGAAAAAGAGAAAGGATGGTAGGAAAGGGTCAAAACTTGAGGGCCGAAACTTAGGCCTCTCCTGATTGACCGTCCCCTTCGGGGCCGGTCTCCGACATTTTCCACCTCTGGGCACCCCCAAGCATGAAGGTCTAGAACCGCCTATGCAAACAAGACCAGACAGGCTGCTAGAAACTATTATTGCATCATGGCCGCTCACATTGTCTATCAGGATATCGAGGAGGAACTGGTCAAATTGACTCTATGACACACGCACTACCTGACATTTCTCTGGTAAAAATTGACAGTAGAATCTGTGTTCCAAAATACGGTAGACGTACAGCCGGCTGTAAGATTTCCAATAGCTTCTATAGCCGGCTACACAATTTCTTATATAGCTTTTTATAGCCGATGGCGATTAAGCAACAGCCAGGTGATAAAGTGTATGCTAAACGTTACTAATTACGGATGCTAGGACTTAGTGAGTTTTTGGACTACTGCTCTCTTTTTGGGCCGTAGTATCTTGATTTATTTTGCGAGGAAAGCTCCGTATGTTTTCTGAGCGCCTTCAGTTTCGAATGATATCGTGCAATACCTCTGGTGTGAAATAGTTGCTTCAAGCGCCGTGGCACGCTGCGGCGCGGCAGGCGGGCAGCCAGCGCGATTCGCGCATTGGCGCCTTCAAACCTAACAGGGATACTTCACGCGTTGCGCAATGCGTGTAGTATCCCTGTTAGGTTTGTAGGCGCCAGTGTGCCGCCGCTCCGCTTTGTGTTAGGTTGTAATATTTAATCTGGCGGAGTCAGCGTTATTCAACACATGATTTTGAAATGTTTGCACATCCTGTATGGATTATTCTCATTTTAATTGATGAAAACAAATATCGACGGTGAAACTACCAAACCACGTATCTCGGTTTGCGACGTCGCAGACTTCCTGTCATACTTTATTTTTTAAATGAAAAACTACTTAACGTCTAATCTTGAAAATTTCTGTGATTTTTCCTCTTGGTGCGGAGAAAATTCTGTGAAAATTTCAAGGAATGATATTGATTTGGTCGACTTCAAAAAAATAAAATACGAGCGTAGATTTTTAAACACCGCAAACGAGATACGTGGTTTGGTAGTTTCACCGTCGATATGTATTAAAGGAAAATATAATGTGTGTTTTGTGAATATTAAGGTGGTTCCGTATCAAACTTAAGGATTTACAAAGCACACGAATTTCTACACAATTTCTCATAGCCTTTTATAGCCGATGACGAAAAAGCAACAGCCAGGCGATAAAGTGTAAAGCCCGGCGATAGGAACTATAATAGCCCGGCTGTATAATTTTTTATCGCTTCGTGTAGCCCGGCCGTATGATTTTTTCCACTTTCTACAGCCAGCTACATGATTTTCTATCGCCTTCTTCAGTCGGCTATAAGAGCTTCTATGGTATTTCGAAACGCAGCTCCTATCGCCAATGTTTACCAGGGTTGTGAATGGCAACAATAATGTTGAAAGTCTATTTAACTGTCTGAGCTTTGAGGAAGCTTCTTTGCTTTGAAAGTGTGGAAAAGCTACGTTACGTTCTTTTCATAACTTTCTGTGCTGATCAAAAACCTATCAACCATCCGTAAATTTTTCAAACATCTCCTCAATTGTAAACAAAATTTATCTTCAAAAATCTGAACGTTATTATTTCTTATTTATTCATCTATGAAATTCAGGGAAAACCCCCTGATATCCCACCAATAGTTTCTCTTCCCTTCAACACTACTATCGGGGAACCGAGGATTATAGACGAAAAAAATGTTATAAAAAATCAATGCACATAAAAATTTTTTTTTTGCGTAAAATGGTACATAAAAGTGATAAATTTGCATTGATTTTTTATACTACATATTTTTGGGTCTATATTTTGAGGTTTCCCGAGAGTAATGTTGAAGGGAAGAGAAAATTTAAATTATTATCAATGAAATTTACACGGAAGTCTATTCGTGGCATATCACTGCACTTTGGGTGAAGAATGTCTATATTTTAAGCTCGGCGGTTTATATGTATTTACATGGAAATCTTTTTGGTGGGATATATGTAGGTACAACTAGTAATTTGAAGTAGTTGAACAATTGAGCAGGTTTGTCGTACTGCCATGCATCGGTGTATCATTCAGCCAGAATGATCGCAATTGACTGTTGTTGAAATGGTGGACAAATAAAATAGGGATATAATTGGGTGAAGAAAGGACACAGGGTCAAAGAAATTTCATTTTGAGAAAAGGCCTTTTCATTTTTATAAAACTAGTTGATGTCAACAAGAAGAAGAATGTTCTAGCTATAGCTTATTACGCGTAATTCAATTTTGAAAACAGTATATCTTTGATTTTCGGATTAAGTCAAGGACTTATGGTAAGCTGTACAAACTGGAGCGCCGTTATTACAAAAATCATAACACTGCGAGGCGCTCCCTGCGCTGAGTAGTTTCTCATCACGAGTCGCTGACCTATACCTTAACTCGAAACTGAGCCATATTGATAGTCGAAATGCCAAAATACGTGACTCCATAGCAGCGTTCCAAAATTTTCGCTCGTATATTACTTTTTCGTGGAGGAACAAGCCAACGTTATACATCGAAAGGAGGGCTATCGAATATATCGGGTCATTTTTGGGCGCATTCCGACTATATTTCCTCAATTCTACGATATTGGGCTCATTGAAATGTCCATTTACGGAGTGCATCGTGATTTGGTCATTCTTGGTCTCTTTTCGGGTCCCTTAATGGCCTAAACATGGGTCTGAAATCCGATTTTGGCGAAAAATGCGGATTTTTCCCCGGAGTTGAGAATATTCAGGGTGGCTCAACAATGGCCCTCATAGGATTGATCTCCCTCCTGGATGCCGGATGCAAGATATTCCACTGGCATTAGAGATGCAAAATCAAGGATGTTTTTAGGAAATTACGTTCAACGATTTTCCGAAGAAAAAATAAAGTATAACAGTACGTTTGCAGAGTCGCGCCACAATGGTTCCGCTTTTCGGTCATCAATCTGCCGGGATGTGCATTTGAAATGTTTTTCCTAAAGTGTCCATTGTATAATGACTCTGTCACATTTGTCGTTCTTTCGCTAGGGCATGTTTGGGTCATAGTCCATATTTTACGGGGACAATGTTGTAATAACTTTACACTATCAAGGCTTTTTCGGAAAATTACCGACGTCGCGTTAAAAACTAGTGATATTTTACTTCCTTGGCAAAAGAGGCAACGCTGAAATTAATTCAATATGTGTAAGAGTCTCAAGACAATCCCCATCGGTAAATAACGCATGCTACAAACACCACTTCTGTGCCAGGGAAACACACCGTATGAACCTTCAGATGTTGCCAAATTTCCTTTGACAAATCACGAATTTTTGGGAACATCTATATACATACTTTTCCTACGATTTCTCAGAGATTTTTTTTCGTAATTTGATCCAAATCATCTGAAAATTTTGAGATGAATACTGCCATGCTAAGGAAGAACGCTGTATGAACATTCGAGAGTTGCCAAATTTCCTTCGTTAAAATGTTTATTTTTGAGGAAAGTTATGAATATTTTTTCTTGAAATTTTCAGGACCTTTAAGTGAAATTATACGTACAAAATTGTCTGAAAAAATGGAAGATACATATTCATGAGTTAACCAGGTGATTTTTGTATTATGAAAGGAAATTTGGCAACGCCTGAAGGTTCATACGGCGTTTTTCCTTAGCACGGCAGAATAATGCATAACTTCCTTCAAAAAACAATATTTTCCGGGAGGAATAGGTACAGTCAGCATTCGAATGCTCATATGACGTTCTTCCGTAGCAAAAGGCACTCTAAACAAATGTTATTAAAACTTCTGAATGCAACTATTCGGGCTCCACGGATTTCCGTGTTGCATACGCACGGAGGAGAAGGCGTTTTAAAGCACCCTCGCCATCGATGTAGCTCTTCCCCTGTGGACGGTCACATACTAATATTGCTGTTTTGGTTGAGATTGCTCCTTTGACGGATATTCCTGATTCGGCGGATATTCCTGTTTTGCTGGTGCCGGTTCTCCATAGTAATGATTATGCGTCTCCTTCACGAAATTCGTCTGGACGTTGATATTTTTGTCTCCGTTGTGGGAGTTGTGGGCTTTGCAACCTTGGCAACTGGTCTGCGAAACTCCATTGGTTTTTCCTTTCAAGCTGATTGCGGTAGAATTGTTAGCTGCTGATGTAATCTGATTGTGATTGTGACTGTCGTTCACCTCCGTGTTTTTTGTGTTCACTTGGGTGTATGAGCTCGGTGCGTTTGTTGTGTTGATCGTGCTCGGTGCGTCAGGCGTGTTGTACGTGCTCGGTGCGTTAGGCGTGGGCGCGCCCCAGGTGAAAGACGACAGATCACTAGCGATCAGGAGGATCACGGACACTTTCCAACACCTTTCCATCATGGTTTTCGTCTTGTGAGACCTGAAACTGAGCCAACATCAGATATTAAAAATCGGGAGAGCAAATATTCGGATTTTACGAAATGCTGTGTGACGAAATACAAAGGAAGGGTATCGATAAGGAGTTTTTTTTTTTTTTTTTAACCCAACTTGAGTTTCGTCAACCCCACGCTTTTTAGACCACTGAAGGCTTATATTTTATGGTATTAGAATACATCACGATCGCCTTATCGTTTCTGTCTCTTTCCGGGTCTAATATCCCTGGTAAAAATTGGCAATAGAATCTGTGTTCCAAAATACCATAGACCCAGAGACGGCTGTAAGATTTCCAATAGCTTCTATAGCCGGCAACACAATTTCTTAGGTAGGTATAGCCTTTTATAGCCTATGGCGACTAAGCAACAGCCTGGCGATAAAGTGTATACTAAACGTTACTAATTACGGATGCTAGGACTTAGTGAGTTTTTGGACTACCGCTCTCTTTTTGGGCCGTAGTATCTTGATTTATTTTGCGAGGAAAGCTCCGTACTTTTGACGGATGCCTGCCATTTCGTATGACACTGTGCAATACCTCTGGTGTGAAATAGTTGCTTCAAGGGCCGTGGTACGCTGCGGCGCCGCACGGCGGGCGGGCAGCCAGCGCGAAACGCGCATCGGCGCCTTCAAACCTAACAGGGATACTTCACTCATTGCGCAGTGCGTGTAGTATCCCTGTTAGGTTTGTAGGCGCCAGTGTGCCGCCGCTCCGCTTTGTGTTAGGCTCTAATATTTAATCTCGTGGAGTCAGCGTTTTTCAACTCATGACTTTGAAATGTTTGCACACTCTGTATGGATTATCATTTTAATTGATGAAAAAAAAAAAAAATATGTAGTAAAGGAAAATATATTGTGCGTTTTGTAAATATTAAGGTGATTCCGTACAAACTTAAGGATTTACAAAGCACACGAATTTCTACACAATTTCTCATAGCCTTTTATAGCCGATGACGAAAAAGCAACAGCCAGGCGATAAAGTGTAAAGCCCGGCGATAGGAACTATAGCCCGGCTGTATAATTTTTTATCGCTTCGTGTAGCCCGGCCGTATGATTTTTTCCACTTTCTACAGCCAGCTACATGATTTTCTATCGCCTTCTTCAGTCGGCTATAGGAGCTCCTATGGTATTTCGAAACGCAGCTCCTATCGCCAATTTTTACCAGGAATACCAGCCAATTTTTCTTTAGCCTTCATCTTCACTTTCAAGAAAATAAGGGAGACCTTTAATAAGGTACTTTACGAAGTACCTAAATTCATTGTGCTTTAGAGGAGCCCCTGTCGCTGACTTATCAATGAAAACTCCTGTCTGCGTGCTGTGTTTAATGGCAAATACGTTGCTCCTATTTGCCAGAGATGGTGATTTGTTTTTGGATTATGCACCCCATTTTAACGCCACTGTATATTTGTACGTCTTCTACTCAAAATTTCGCAGATAGCGATTTGTGCGATAGGATTTATGGAGAGCAACTTCAATCGCGAGTGTATCGTTAGGCCTTCGGGCCGGGGTTCTGTCCCCCCGGTTCCACCTTGTTAAGATCTCTAATAAATGAAGCCCGAAAGGGATAAAGAACAAAAACTTCAATCGCGAAGAAAATAGAATTGTTGCTTTTAGGATGCTCATATATAGTGGATTCTTATAACTACTGCTAACATGCCCCTCTTTCAGCGTCTCCGTGCGCTTTGTGACACACAACCGCCACTGAAAGCGATCCTGCCAGACAGAGCTCCTTCGGCAAATACCTATCATCTCCTCGTTTCCCGCCTATAATTCCATAAATTCACGATTTTACAATGCACGCGCGTCCTCTACCACGATGGCGTCTATAGTGGACTCCTACCAACTTTTTCAGGTATATTTAGGTAGGTACATTAAAAAAATATCATGGCTCCAATAAGAATGCCTAGGTCGGATCAGTACCCGATTTATATATACGATTTTGAAAATTATCGAATAAAGGAATTTCCAAGATATATTATATATGCAGAGAGTCCGTCGATTAAATTTTAATCGCGAGGAGACAGCTCATACGATGAAATCTCACCTTTTCCTCTGAGTGTCCAAAACACAGCATCACAGCTCACTAGGAAATCTCATGAGAATCGCATTATATTCTCAAAGTGCCATGATAAACGAGTAGAAAAAATTGAAGCACGGAGGAATTGACACAGAAGCTGGGTATCGATCGATTGAGCACGGTTGTCCCGCGTACGCAGTGAGCATCCGAACTATGCCGGAGAATGTTTTTGGGTAACCTCGAGTTCCGAACTAATGCCTTCTTATCAATAATTTATTTCCCTATCTTTTTTAGAACAATAGTTGGTTGTGATAGGATACTTAGCAAGTGTGTTGTGGAGGCTACTTTGAGGCCGGTGATAAAAGCCACCTGGTTTACCTACTTAGGATGCACTATTATAAAGAGAGGGGAAAAGCGTCCAGCCTCCGAGAGTTCATTAAAGTCGTATCTATGCTGCGCTAAATGTAAAAATAACTGCTCGCACTCATTCCAAAAGTTTCATTTTATTAAACAATTACAAAGTTAAAAAATGAAAGCGTGCCTGTGGTAATGATTAAGTAACGCGCGAGGCTGAAAATAATGAAACTCTTACATAGCGCAGCAGTGGCAAGGCGTGAAAGATATCGATGATCGATATATTTCCCCATTTGAAGCTTTGCTAAAGGATCGATCACTTAAGGTCTTCGATTCGATAAGGTCTTCCCTGTCTATTGATCTTTTTCCATAGGTTTAAATGGTAGATTAATCGATACATCGCAAAGTACGCCACGTCACTCTGCCGTAAGGATTTACCATTAGTGAAGAAGTGATTTACCATTTGTGAAGAAGTGATTTACCATCAGTACCAAAGAAGTGATTTACCATTAGTATGATTCGATGGCCAAACTGCGAAACTATGCACACCGATCTCCATTAAGGTGCTCTAAAATTTTCACTGCTATTTTATTTTTTCAAAGAGAAACAAGCCAACTTTGTAGATTTAAATTTATACACAATATTCTACTAATAAGAGAGAAGAAAAATTAAAGAAATTTTCGGGTAATTATTTTGACTAGTTTTTCAAAGGAAAAATAAAGTAGCTGATAGAGACGATAATTGTATGCATTTCTCTTATAGAACCCTTCTAAAAAGTGGCCTGCTAGCTTTGTTGGGCAGCCGATTCGGCCGTCGAACCGGCGTTTGAATGGAAGCTGCTAATGATCTAAAGCTCTGAGAAAAATTTTAAGATGCATGAGTATGGGAACGGTCTCCGAGTTATGAGGAGAGGGGGCAAATGGACTAAAATCCCAATTAATTTGTTTTATTATTTATTTATTTATTTATTTTTTTTGGGGGGGGAGGGGGGGAGGGGGGAGGGTTTAAATAACTCAGTAGGCACTGTTCTTTGTGAATCTGATAAGTTTTGGCTTGAGGCAGATCAAAAAACTGAAACTCGTTCGAATGGCTTTCTACGTTCACAATACACTGATTTCATCACATAGATCTGTCATAAAATCGTGATTTTGTCGACGACAATACCATCGAACAGAAAATCGTGAAAATTGATAGGTATCAAATTTCGATTTTATCGAACGCAATTTTATGGAGATAGAATGGCGACAAGATCTACACAAATCGCTCAGATGTTAATGATTCTAGCGATTTTGTCGCCAAAAAATCATAGAAAAGCGCGCAACTGATTTTAAAATATCGTCATTTTTCTGTTGAAAAATGCTAGGTACTTTGGGCATTACTTAGCCCATCCAAACAGTTTTTTATTTTAACCTGAGATATGTTAGGGAACCTCATCCAACCTGGGCCCCAGTGCCCTTCAGGCAAATGCGGCCTTGCATACTAGCTTGAATTACTAAACCCACATTTATTTTATTGTAGGTATGTATGTACAGCTTACAAGGATGTGTGCGGTCCAGATTCAAATTCAATGTCAAATATTACATTATTACCTGCCTTCAAATTTTACGAGTGTGCGCCCTTGGCCAATTTCTGGCGAGAGGAAGAAAATATTATTCAATCAAAGCTGGAAATATGAAGGTCTCTCATTTGGACTACATTTTGCAATTAGGAACTATAACTTCCGGCCCGGTTTAAAAACAACGTATGTGCCCTTAGTTTCCCTATGCACATAAGTGTTTTTTTAGATGAGCCAGAATTTATAGCTCCAAATTGCAAAATGCAGTCCATTTATCATGTTCTCAGTCTGCGCAAAACTTGAAAAAGGAGCATTCTCTTTTGTGTGTTTAATTACATTGTTACGAAAAGTGTGCAACCATAAGATCCCCCTTAAGCTACGGAACCTTAGGCGCGTCTGGACGCGGCGTCCTGGACGCCGGCGGAAAATGCTGCTACCGAGTCGAGGGCGAGAAGACGCTCACATTTTGGAGCACGGCACCTTAGGAATCCGTGGATTTTTTCCGCTCTGTCCGCCGTCAATTTCTCAAATTTTTGTTGATCGGACAGTATGCTCTGGGCCGCGAAAATGGCTGTGCGCCCTTTTTTTTAGGAGGGTGTGGATTCGATCGACAAAAATCGACCGAAAAATAAAAACGTGAATCGATCGACACCAATCGATGGACAAATTACTAAAAAACGGATGTCGATTCGATCGACAAAAAATGTGGATCGATAGACGAGAAATGATTGACAGTTAAAAGGAAAACCGGTATCTAGTCAATCGACATGAATCGATCGAAAAACCAAAACGTGAACCAATCGACGTAATTCGATCGATTCACGGGTTTGTCGTTTAACTCACAGGTTTGTCGATCGACTCATAGGTTTGTCGATCGATTCGCAGGTTTGTCGATCGACTCATAGGTTTGTCGATCGATTCACAGGTTTGTCGATCTATCCACGGCTTTTGTCGATTGATTCACGGATGGGTCGGTCGATCCACGGCTCTTGTCGATCGATTCACGGAATTTTCGATCGATTCGCGGCTTTTGTCGATCAATTCACGGCCTTTGTGATCGATTCGTGGGTTTGTCGAACTAAACACATTCAAAAATCGGTAGGAAAGGCAGCGGACTGAGCGGAATTTCTCGGCGTCTTCGCTCCGATCTGTTCGAGACAGATCGGAGCGTCCTCGCTCGGCGTTTTCCGCAGCGTCTCTTCGCCGCTAAGGTGCCGTCCCCGCGCAAAAATCATTAGACAGATTTATCGGCGTCTGGACGCCGCGTCTAGACGCGCCTAAGGTTCCGTACCTTTAGTGAGGCATTCCACTCTATGACCGGCCGTCTTTCCGTCTCAGATAAAATAGACAACGCTGTGTTCACAGAAAAGGAAGATGCGTCGAAGGTTCCTTCTAAATTTTTTTAGCAAGTAGATCATCATGCAGTCACGAACTTAGCAAAATACTACCGGAAGACGTTAAGAACTGAGGGTCGTATCGCCCATAGTCGTACCTTAAGGGGGTAGGGGAGGTCTATGCTGGCCCATAGTAATTTAGACAACTTTGATGTCCCTTTTCTCAGGACGTATTAGGTATTTTTTTTAAAAACCATTTTTTGATTGATTTCATAGAGTCTTTAGATTACTTTTAACCTGAGGTATTTTTGAAATTCGAATAAAATAAATAATTATGCCTTTATCAAATTTCGACTTTGAAAACCCACCAAATTTTTAAAAAAAAATACTCTTGTTGAGTTGTAGGGAAAACCACCCGAAATCAAAAAAAGTAAAATGAAAAAAGACTAAAAAGGTCTTGAGAAGAGGGGCATTTTATGTAAAAAAACCTGCTTCACAGAAAATCAGAGGCTCCACAAAATATGTGGAATAAAAACCTGCAGAATGAAGTTCGTGCAGTAGCTATAAGACCTTCCCTACTTTGAAAGCCCCTCCCAGTCCCATCTGACCTACTTATCAGAATTTAAAAACTTGATCTTATTTTACTCGCGAGAGTATGCAGAGCAATAATTAAGTAAGTACCAATAATAATCCGAAAATCGGAAAATTTCGATTTTTTGTCTTCCCTACCCCCTGAACACTTTGCGTGCCAGGCATTATTCATTATTTACACAATCCGCCCTTAGTGCCAGGCATTTTAGATCCTGCATGGCTGTAATACTTAATGTTTCTAATAATGATTCTAATGGACTATGATTTGTGGAAGAGATGTTTTTATTGCTTGAACAAGGGACTTTTAATTATATGAATTTTTGAAAATTTTGCATATCATTTTGACAAGCAAATTTTATAATTACTGTCTCCCAACAAATCTACTGACTGAACGAAAAAAAACCTCTCCTACAGATCGTAGTCTATAAGTCATTGGTTGTTTTTACAACAAAATCACATATCGACGGTGAAACTACCAAACCACGTATCTCGTTTGCGGTGTTTAAAAATCTACGCTCACATTTTATTTTTTTGAAGTAGACCAAATCAATATCATTCCTTGAAATTTTCACGGAATTTTCTCCGCACAAAGAGGAAAAATCACAGAAATTTTCAAGACTGGATGTTAAGTAGTTTTTCATTTAAAAAATAAAGTATGACAGGAAGTCTGCGACGTCGCAAACCGAGATACGTGGTTTGGTAGTTTCACCGTGTCTCCATCTCAATTAGGGCCTGAGAAATATGTAATTATTCCAGTGATCGAAAACCTGTAAAAAATAAATTTTTCCGGAGATAAAATTAAGGATATTAACTACACAGACAATTGAGGTACCTTGTCTGCGCCCTTACCTTGCCTTTTATGCATTCAGGCAGAGAAAAATACTTCTAATGTATGTTGAAGAAACTAAATGCAGTACCTATATTATTCAAGAAAAATACCCCTGCCCTCTTCAATAAAAGCAAATAAAAAAAAAAAAAAAAACATGCTTTTTCCGGAAAAAACTTATTAGTTAAAGTACGGTACCTCCAACTTTGTCCTGTGCCTTTCATGTACGCAAGTTTGATGTGCCTAATAGTAATATGGAATGCAGTATGTATTTCCTGTGACCTCACAGAGTAACCAAAACATGACAATGTTTCTTTTTTTTTAGAGCGAATTTTGAAGTCTTCTTCATAAAGAATTTTGTATCATACACCCATTATTTCCTTTCCAACAAATATTCTTACTTATTTTCCTTAAGCTAAGTTGAAACTCTGTGAGGACGCCGAAGAGAGTGAAGTCCGTCAGTTTAAAACTCCCGCCAGTTCAAAAGGACTGCGCTCTTTCGGACGTATCTAGAACTCCTATTGTTGATGTTTTGATTTTTTAGAACTCTAACCCCCATTCCATCCAAATTGAATAGCTAGTGGTTGCAAATGTAGCCTCTGAAAATTGTGTCCGTTGTTTGTCGTTCTTTTGAATATGTAGTTTGAGTATGAAATTATTTTCTTAAAATCCGGTCTCTTAAATCCTCACATTTTCAGCTTGAAGTTAAGTTAATCGAAACGCCCGGTGTTATAATCATGGATAGGGAAGTACTGGAGGGCTCTGTGAATTTGAAAGTCGGGGAGTACATCTTTGAGTGTGACCGAAAAGAGTTAGCTTCAAATAGTCCTTATTTTCATGCTATGTTCAGTGGGAATTTTGCTGAAAAGTCACAATCCGAAATTCAACTCAATGTAAGTACATTTCAGCTTGGAGCATTTCTTTGCAGTGTCGTATCTCGGGACTTCCAATTTGAACAGTCATTGATGGCTGCTCTTAAATTTTGTTCTCGAGTTGCCAGTAATACCTAAGCCAATGCAAGCACTATCATGAATTTTTAGACCTGCAGCCATAAAGTATGACCAAGTAATGAAAATATTTGTTGACTCTTGTAACAGTTCTTAGTAGGTCAGGCCTGAAACTGCCTGGGTTTCATTTAAGATCATGGCCCTCGTCCTCGCTATGAACATTAATCAATGACAGGATAGTAAACCAGTTTAAATATCAACTCCGATGCAAAGTTATTTTAAAATTAAGTACTGTTACACCATTATACTAAGTAGTATGATACAATCCATGCATAAGTAATAAGTTAATATGCAGCTCACAATTTTTTTTTTTTTTTTCTACTTTTAATAGCCCACAAGAGCTAATCCGCTTTAGTCCTGTCCCCCCTCCGTCCCTACCAACCAGTCCCAGGCAACCATTATTTGAGACCATCAAACTCGGGTCGCCTGGCCGGCAATCGAACCAGACACCTCCTGATCATAGAGCTAGCGCTACAACTACTACACCGTAGGAGGCCGACAAAGGACGATGAGAGAGGAGGAAGATATGACAAATTAATTCTCGCTTTTAGTTTCAATGGAAGTATCAAGACTGCAAGTCTTCTATCTCACTCCAGAATTTCAAAAACTTATGTGTTGCGGGCTTTCAAGTAGTATAAATGAAAAAAAAAAAAAATTGTGTTTAGGGCCTCCATTCTTCTATCCCACAGTTGGAGTCATTACACATAACTCCGTAGATAAATAGATATGAACTATTATTTTAGTAAGAAACCACGTAAGCAATATTTTTTAAAGAATTGAGCCAATAGTACTTTTGGTTCTTGAGTGGTATTTTGCTTTCCTATTCCTGATTTTCAAAGCATGCAACAATTTTTATATCATCAGATAAGTTTGCAGTTGTTAACTGTTCATTTGCAAGCAACTCCTGCTGTCCTTCAATAGCAATCAAGGATTGACTGAAAGTAATAACAACGCTGTGCTGACTGAAAACCAACACTTCCTTCTGAGGGGATAGTGCCAAATTTTTCCACTACGTGTGGAAGTCAGAAATAAACAACTGCTAACTTATTTAATGTAAGTTCTTCTTTCAATATGGTAGAAATTTGTTTTGTTCTTAAATCTCCCTAGGTAAGTACTAAACCGTTTATAACCGCTGAGTTACCTATACCTTTGCGGGTCAATGTGTCACTTTCACTGTAGTTCTTCTGTCTTTGTCATTGAAATTACCCTCATACTCTTTTACTTTCAGGACATTGATTTCACTTGTTTGGCAACCATCTTACTTGCTAGCAAAGGAGAAGGAATTGATTGGTCTGTCAGCGAAGATGACTTGATATCAACATTGGCTACAGCACATATGCTTCAGTTTGATGCGGTGGAGGAGCAGATAATTCATTACATAACTCACAGCTGGCTGAGTGTAGAAAACTGTCTGAAAGTGATGCAGATAACGGATAAGTTGAGTCTCACAAAACTGCACAGAAAAGCCAAACTTCTCGCTGTAAACAATGTGAATTTGGTCATTAAGAGTCGTTCATTTTTAGAGCAACCTTTGAAAGAAGTCCTTGAGTATTTAAGTGAGGAAAGTTTGAATATTGACAACGAAAAAATCATTTGCGAAGGAGTCATAAATTGGATCAGTGCTGATTACAATGCCAGATTTGTTTATGTCAAAGATCTGCTGACAGTCATCAGGTTCAGTCAATTATCATCTAAAATAATATACGAATACCTTTTGATGTCAATCCTGAAAAAGATCCCATACGCTAAGTCTCTGCTTCAGTGTATAGCCTTCAAGCTCTCCCCAAATTGCGATCAAGCGGTTTGGACACAGAACTTCGGTGAGAACTTTCGGAAAGCAGCAATTGAACATCTTTCTCTACCGAGCAGGAAAGGCTCACTAGTCCCATGTATTGTTGGAGGAATTCTTAACAAAAACCAATGTGCTGATGTCAAGATGAAACCGTTTGATGAAAAATCGCTTCTGTATGACAATTTCCTCTTTTACTGGATCGAAGATGGTGCCAGGCCAGTTATTCCGTTAAATTCTGTGATGCCGTCCAATTTAGAGGGAGCTCGAATCGTCCGCAAAGGTTATTATTCTAATCTCCTCTTTTCTAATGTATGTATCGTTTGTCCTAAAGCAAATCCCAGATATTTAGAGAAGGATTTTTAAGTTCTAAGTAAGAATTTTTTTTATAAAGTATCATTTTTGTTTAATCCGTTTGAAGGAACAAGAAGGGCCTTGAAAATTTGTTGAATTTACATTGAATATCTGGGATTGCAATTCAACCAAATGCCCCGAACAGAAACTCACTCATTTCTCGCCAACCCTCCTGAAAGAGGTTATTTGAGTTGAATCAATTAAGTAATGAATGTGACTTCCGAAGATTTGTATCTTTTACATATTTTCAAAATAGGTATTTACCTAATTTCGGATTCTTTGTTTTTTAAGATATGCATCTTTACCTTGTCGGAGGAGAGTATAAGATTGGAAGTGGTATCTGGAATAATGAAATCAGAAGCTACAATATAGGCTCGGAGACTTGGAAAAAAGTTACAGTGTAAGTTCAAAGTAAATTAGACAATTTATAGCTTTTGCTGTGATTTCTTGCCATGACAAGAATACTTATTCCTGTCAGAGAAGGAAAAACGAAGAGAAGCTTTAATGAAAAGCGTCTCAAAAATTTTCATAATAATCAAGTCCAGTTTTAGTAAATTATGATTACCCTCATGAAATGATATTCTATCCTATGAGATCTTAATAAGTGTCTCCTATTATTTCCATAGTTGCTGGTTTTTTTCTTTCTTTTTTTTGAAAGATAAAAGTATCCGAAAAAAATGAGAATAAAACTTGGAGACCCTACCTATATCATATTATTTATGAAACATACTTACATAAACTGCCTCCTTTGTCGGCCAATTGTTTTAAATTTTTTCAAAAACTGACTCCAGTGTCTCAATTTAAACAGGAAAGTGTTCCTTTTAGTTTAAGCCAAAAGAAAATGTTCAAAAATATTTTTCAAAAAATTGACCGCTTCTCTTTCCTTTCTTCTCATATAATAGACTGCCAAAACCCAGGAGACATCAAGGAACTTGTATCATTGATGATGAACTTTTCATTATCGGAGGCATGAGTAAATACCGGGTTCAAGTAGATCTTGTCGACATATATAATCTGCAAACAGGTTAGTGTAAACTCTTTTATACATTTTCTAACCAAAATTGCAGGCGCAGAAATATGTAAAAGACCTTGGGCAGGAAATCAAAGAACTTGGGGCCGGCTAAATTTTGTTATTACTTGGTATGATGTTCTTCACGTCCTTCTTAGCATGCTAAGCTTTAAAAACTGAACTTGTTGCTTGCCGGTTTCAAGAATTTCAGAGTTTGAAAGTGAAATTCTCAGCATTTTTGTATGTATGTATTTTATGGAAATGTTATGAATTTTTTATTTTGATTGAGGAGGGCCCGGGAAGAGAACAGACCCAAAGAATGAAGTACGCCCAAAAGATGACAGCATATGGTGCAGTGTCCTTACACAAGCAGTGGTTGCTAACACTATCTCATTTTACATATTTCCAAAATTCATATCGTACGAAAAGTTTGTTTTTAAAATATCACAGCCTTCCCACTTAAATATGTACTCAAGTAAGTTGGAGAATAATGTAATTTTTAAATTGAAGTATCTGTTTAACTTTTTTGTGACTATCCTTTCAGATATGTGGAGTCAGTGCCCAGCATTGCCTTCTAACTGTAATTCTTCGGTCCCATGGTGCGTGCACAAGAAGAATATTTTCCTTTTTTGTGCTGACTATACGGTTCATTGCCTTCCACCACCTCGCGCTGTCTGGGTTTCACTGAAGAAGAAAATGAACTTTTTAACCACTGCTGCCGTGTCAGATGGCCGTTTCATTTATCTTATCGGTAAGATAATCTTTAGATGGTTCCTTTCTCACTAAATATTAATCATAACCATTTTTGTGAAAATAAAAATTTGACGGTGAAACTCCCAAACCACGCATCTCGTTTCAAGTGTTTGAAAATCTCCTTTCCTTTTTTAATTTTTCAAAAGAGAACTAATTGTACCATTCCTCAAAGTTTTCACAGAATTTCTATTGCATAGAGAAGAAAAATCATGGAAGTTTCAAAGAATTTATGTCGAGTATTGTTTTCCATTTAAAAGATAAAGTTTCCAAGAGGAATCTTGCAACATCGCAAACGGAGATACGTGATTTGGAAATTTCTCCGTCTAATTACTTTTTCTTAAACATTTCATGTCATGGGCTTAATGTAGAATTACTTTTCAACAGTGAAATTGCCAAAATGCGTATCTCGATTTGGGTGTTTCAAAGCACCGCTACTATTTTATTTTATAAAATGAGACCAAACCAACATCATGGCTTGAAATGCCCACTAAATTGACTCACTGGCTCACTAAGTCAACATCATTCACATAGGGAAGGAAAAATACAAAAGTTTCCAAAGAACCTGGGTTGATAGTTTTCCATGCAGAAAATATATTATGACAGGAAGTCTGCAATTGGTATAATCAAGATGCGCATACCTGAAATTTCACCATCGTTCCAAGAGAATATGTGAGGCTAAAAATGCTTTTGACATAGTTCTCTCTAGAGTTTTGCCCATCAAAGGTTGCTTTTCCTTTTCCTTGTTTTTCTGGCTGTAGGAACAAATCGAATAAAAAACACTATCAAAAAATGTATTTCTGTTGAACTATTATGAAAATCTTTAGTCAGGTGAGAGTCTTCTATTAGTCAAACCCAATTTTTGGGAAATTTGTGCTTCATAATGTGTTGCAAAATCTTAGAAAAAAGTCAAATTTCTGCGACTGAGCCCCATGAATAAATAAACAAAAGGAGAGGAGTTTCACATTGCTGGAATCTCAAATTTAGGTTCAGTTTCTTTTCATGAAGAAGTGTTTTACAAATATTTTTGCAGGAACAAATGTCTGAAAATGTCATTGCAGTGGAACGTAAGATGCTTTGAAATTTTCGGCTCAAAAATCGTTCTTTCTATAAAAAGCCATGTAAAGACTTAATTCGTAATGTTCAAGGCTTAAAATCGTTGAATCATAATACAACCTTACTCTCTTAATTGATGCATTTGAATTAAACCCATCACAAAGTTTCTACAGAGGATTAGAGAGCACTAATTACGAAAATTCTTTGTATGCTAATTTTGATCCAAAAGGACAAAAGGTGCTCTCCAGAAAAGACGTCCTTGCACTAATGTCCCTCTTCCTGGCAACACACATATATCGATGGCCTAAGCGCAGAACCACATTTCTTCGTTCACAATGTTGCATACTCTCTGTGATATTTCAATTTTTCTAAGGAAAACTTGTTAACGTGATTTCTTGAAAACCTCCCTGATTTTTCTTCTGTGCTAGCAGAATATTTCATTTTAAACTCAATCTCTAAAGTCGGCTTGTTTTTCTTAGAACAATTAAAATTAGAGCGGAAGTGCTGAAACACTGCCATGGAAGTAGGTGGTTTTGCACTTCTGCTATTGATGTTTATAAAATATGTAGAAAAGAGGAGTGAATATGTCGTGAGAAGAATTGGTGTGTGGTATTCAGACAGTCTTTTGTAATATTTTTAGGTTCCATTCCATCACGAGAGAAACTCTTCATGTATCGACTGGATCCAGATTCGCCAGATGAAGACATCATTTGTGTAGGACAGCTGACCAGCCGAGGATGCACGAGCGCCTGCGTCGTCAGCAACGTCATTTATTGTTTCACCAAGAGCGAGACAACGGTAAATCAAAGCCCGGCGAGCAATGAATTGGGTGGTGACTACCTGTTTATGGAAACCTACAACATAATAACCAGTAGGTTCACGAATCCCCACACGATTAAATTGGACAAGCTCACATTTTTCCCGTCTGTTGGCTGCTTCAGTATACCTCATATTTCGTGATGTGTATGTGCACTCAACTAAGCCAGGTCAGTTGAAAGATATTGATTCATTCAAGTCGCAGAATTTAAGTCAAATCAATTGCAAACTGATTTTTCACTTCTCAATGGTTAAATTACAGGACCATGTATCTCAGTGTGCAGTATTTCCGATACACCGCCGTATCTTAGTTTTTTAACTCATCCCTTTATGCTCCTTCCTTGCTAAAATCAGTAACTCTGTATACCTTTGGTTCTTGAGCTTATCTAATGATCCTAAAATTGGAAATACCTAGCAACCTTAACTCTTTCACTCAACTTATATGAACTGTATCTTAAAAGGAATATGTCTGTTTTCAACATCGCTACATCTGTCTGTTTTCTGCATAGCTAGTATTCTTATGTTGCGTAATAACTTGTTCATATACTTAATTTTTTTATGCCTCATTTACTTCATAGAATAACCAAGAGCAGCTGTTAAAAATCCTCTACATTGTCTATTAAAAACTGTCAAAAACAAGGAACGGTAAAATCAGTCAAAATTATGGAAAGAATGAAGGTGAAGAATATAGGCACAATGAAATCAAATCATTGGGCATGGAGGAAAATAACTGTTAGAACATCGGTCAGGTCTTAGTCTTAATTTTTTTTTTTTTTTCACTTTAATGTCTGTAAGTACATTATGTCTTCTGGCATAAAATGCCCTATCCTGGAAAATGCTGCCTAAAAATGTAAAAGTAATTTTTTAAAGATATAAAATACGACTGGAAATTTTGAAGTACTGCGATTGGCACATGTGGTCCTGTTCTTTCACCGATGACCTGTATCATAACTTTATTTATAATTTTGGAACTATTGCTGCTATTTTTTTTAGTGATTTTTGGGAGTCCCCCGTTTTTGTATCCTTTTTTTGTTTTATTTCTGGAAAATTGGACTTGTAATTAAGATTTTTAGCAAATTTTTATAGACTTTTTAGGGAATTGTGTTTTTTTGCAATTTTGTGGCTTGGTGATGCTTTTCGTCAAATGTGATCACTGCCTAAATTTCATTATTAAATACTAGTCATTATTATCCCACAGTCAACAATTTGCTAGAGCCTGATGCTTGAGGATTTAATTCCTCCAGAAGAATCCAATGTTGCCAGCATGTTTAATCATGCTCTTAATTGCTCATTTTGTTGTCTCCCGAAAGAACAGACCCTGTTTGCACTGTCTCAACATTTCTTGGAACATTTTATTTTTGCATGAGAGAACCATCGCAAGAATTAATCTAAAACCTCAGAATCTGTTCCGTGAAAGGTAAAGAAAAATTACTACAAAACATTTCAGAAAAATTCATGTAAAGATTTTTGTACAAACAAATGATCTATCAGTTAAAAATACTGAAAAAGCGTACCGGAGATACGCTCCTTTGTGTGGGAGACAACAATCTACTTGTGAGTTAATCATGTATATTGTTTTGTGAGAATGCTTCTGGAGGAAAGAAATCTCAACTTAAAGTTCTAAAAAATTCCTGCATCGAGATTTTCATTATTTCCTCCGGCAGGAAAAAGATCCACTTGATTTAAATCTGCTGCCCACAGCAGACTTAAGTCTCCTAGATAATTTTTTTTTATTTTAGGTATAAGATTAACTTATATGCAAGGGGGGTATCAAAACTTCTTTGACAGGAAAATATCTATTCAATTTATTGCTCAAGGCCTCATTTTAATTTGTTTAAATGTATGTGATTGGCTCAGTGGAAAAGACCATATCTTTCATCAAAAACTTTCTCCTGAACAAGCTCTCGAGAAAGTGTTTGAAATCAGCAAAATTTAATCGTGGCTAGATCTGAGAGAAGGTACGTTAGCGCTTAGGAGGAAATTTTTCTCAACTTCTGGCAAACTCTAATGACTTTTTTATACCTTGATAGAATTTGTGTCCCGGACTAACCTTCAACTTTCGAGATTTTAGGATCAAACATGCGCCAAAATTTCCAGATTTTTTCCTTCCTTGCATTTGTAAAAAGTTAAGAGAAATTTTTTCCAGAGGATAATGCCTCTCTTTCTAGATTCGATCACAACTATCGTCAGGAGCTTCTGTCGAACAATCTGCATGGTGTGTTTGTTGATTTTGAAAAAAAAAATTCAAGCTTAAAGGCAATGAAAGTACAAAATTTCATCAATTGGGATAAAAATTAAGTAGATCGCCAACATTTGGATCGTGTTTAGTAGAAAGAAACCAAGCCACATCAGCTATTGCCAAGTTGAATTGGGCAATTTACTTTTTTACATGAAAACGGTTGTGCATATTTTTCTGCAAATTTCAGTGAATTTTCAGCATAATATGAAGCAAACTCCTTAAAATTTATTAAGGAATTCGCACAAACGTTCTCTTGTAAAAAATTAAATTGCCCAGTTAAATTTGGCAATAGCTGATGTGGCTTGGTTCCTTTCTGCTAGACGCGGTCCATTTATTCTTAGAAAATTATTTAGCGTAGAAAACTCACATTGTAATTTTTTGTATCTACCTTGACGAGAATTGGGCTTTTGAAGAATTCCTCTCATGAGAGAAAGTCCCTTTTCTGGTGACTAGTCGTAATTTTTGAAAAACTTGTAAGGTCTCTTTTCTGTAGTCTCTGTTTTCTCATATCTTTTAATTGTATGTTGTCAGCCCCTTTCTCCCTGCTTTGTTTTCCGGAATGTTCAACCCTTTTTATTAGCATCACTAAAAATCAGAAATGACTTTCTCATATTTCACAATCAGGGAGTGTACATTGCAATAATGAGTGAAAACCACAAGTTTTAGTTATCTGAACGGTTTAAAATAGCTCCTCAATGGAAGCAAATTATAATCAAAAGATGGAACATATTTTGCTAAAATATTGATTTTCATTTCATGCTTTGGCAAAAATGTGAAGAAGTAGGGCAAAAGTATTTATTAGCTCTCTACCTCTAAAAAACTAAATAAACTGAGTGCAAAAGGTAAACATTGAATAAGACAAACCTGATGCAATGTTCTGCGTTCAGTTTTACTTTGCTTTAGTCCAGCATTTTCACAAGATGTTTTTTTTTAAAAAAAATATTTAAAATGTGCTTGTATCGGGATCATCCAAAAAGTATAACTTCTTATTTTACTTATATCATACTAAAAAAGAAAAAAAAGAGTTACATCAAATTGACAAGATAAATATGTGTTAAGTACACCATTTGGCTGGTTTTCAAAATATTGGACTTCGTGTAAGGCTAAGAGTACGCCGATCTTATATGCACTTTCTTATTTATTTAATAAATTTCTTTTAGCTCAGAAGATATGAAGTAGGAAAAATTTACCCTTTGGATGACCCTTGTACATTGTTTCTTTGCCAACAATTAAAAGCAGAATGAATATTCTAGACATTTTTTTTCTTTTTTGTGTGTGAATTTAAATTCCGATCAGCTAATTTACTTTTCGTAGAATTGAAGTGTCCAAGTAGTCATACGAAGTACTGTGGCATTATGGATTTGGGCATCATTGCGTGATGTATCCACAAAGAAAGTTTTAGAAAATAACATGTAGTCTTTTATAAAGCGTTATTAAGTGAGTGGTTTTTCAAGACTCCCTCCTTAGATGGAACCACGGATCATAGTATGTAAGCTTTGATCCATGTTAGACTCTTCTACTTAATTACAACTGATATGGTTTATTAATACAAATCCCACTCTTGTGAAGACTCTTTAATATTTTTCCCATGAAATGAATCACTGACTTAATTTACCCCTTTCTCTATCAATATCATTGTTCAGCCGATGGGAAATTTTACGGCCAAAAAATTACTAAAAGTTTACAATTGAGCATCAGTATTACTCAACACCTGTGATATTATTATTATGTGACTGACTATTTAGATTGCGAAATTTTTAGGAATTTCAAACGATAAGACTGCTCTTCTCCCCAACTTTCTCTCTTTTCATGGAAAGCATTCCATTGTCTGAAAATTAGGGTACTAATCACCGAAAAATGTATCCAGTATTCTTGGGACATACCTTTCTTTCAAGACCAATCCACACAGGTCAGTCATTCCCAAGGACGAGTTTTAGAACTCTACTGCGCAGTGACGTAGTATTGAGTGCCTGCAATGTATTTCTTATGGGAACACCCATTGTGACGTAGCATTGAGTGATGCGAGTCAGGGCTGGGCAGGGGAGTGGATTTCAAAAATGCTGCTCAATGACTGACCTGTGTGCATTGGTCTTGCTTTTTTTTTCTTTTTCAGAATATCAGTGTGTGGATGGAACTAAACATTTGCATATAAGTATCAACATCACAATCATTTTTGTAGATCATGTCCTCTTGACCTCTGGGTCGATAAATTGCTCCGTTAAAATTCTAAAAATCTTTCTTATGCTGTTTTCAAATTTGTCTCCGAAGGCTGTACGAGTGCTCTTTGTCTTTACTCGAATTCTGAAAATATGTAACCCTTTTTCTTGTGCACTATTTATATCAATCTATGAAAATGTATTATTTCAAAGTATAACAGAGGTTGCTTTTTCTTGTGTGTCATGAGAAATATTTGCTTTTCATTCTAAGAATAAAGAAATACATTGAAACTTGCCATTACCTGATTCTTTCCTCTCATGACTAAATATTTAGGTATACCTAACTAGGGAAGGAAAAGAATGGACAAAAGTCACATTGAAATGTTACATTATTCAACGAAAATTTAGATGGTAATCAATGGTCCAACTGATGAATGGTGCATTCAGGTTGATGTCACATGTGTCTATTCTTTTTTTCCAGCCAGTTCTATGCTGTGGCTAAGGATTTGATTACGATGTTCTTAATGACTCCGAAAACTCACATTTAGAAAGAAACAGGTCTTACGAGTATGTCTTGCTCTCCATTTTAATCTTTTATAGGTTTATCCTTTTGGCGATCTCACTGAGGGAAATTAAAGGGTCGAGGCTTTAATCAAATGAAAGCGAGGGACTTTCCATAGAATATGAAGCAGACATTCTTTGAGAAATTGAAAAAACAGAGATCAACGTTTTCAAAAGTACTTTTAATAAAAATTCAACTTTTTACACTATGATTTAAAAAATTACAAATTGAAAACCAGCCAATACTTTGATTTTGCTTTTCTGCATTCCATTCAATAGTAAGAAAATTTAGGTTGGTCTCAGCATACTTCCTACAAACCGATATTGAGGATGATCAAAGAAAATAAGAAAAGAAAAATTTTGAGAAGTTGGTGGAAGATGATCACAAGTTTCTGATCGATTAGCAATGTTTTCCACGTATGTATATAAAACGACAAATAAAAACATCACTTTTTCTTCTGTTACTTCTGGTATTAAGTATTCCTTACAAAATGAGAGGTAAATATTTTAACGTATTTTAGTCACCTTCAATTGCTCAGAGTAAAAGTACAAATAAATATGACGTACAGGAGAGAGCTGAATTTGTAAAAGTAATCATAAAAAAAAAAAAAAAATAAATAAAAAAAGCCACGGCAAACAACAGAAATAATAAAAATCTCCCAGGAATGAATTATAACAATGGTTTGGAAAGGGGAGCCAGAAAATTAAAACTTCAAGACCAAGGATGGATGACAAGGATCAAAACTTCAGGACCAAATGATGATTAGAGTTAGAAGCAGTGATACAGATAATCTGAATTTCTTGGTTATACAGGGTTATTCAAAAGTTACGCACCACTGGCCATAACTTCAGTTCTAATTATGATATCGATTTGCGGTTTGTGGCGTCCTTCTTCATATCGAGGGGGAAACTTTTTGAGGTACTTTTCAGTTCTTCACCCCCCCAGGGGGAGGGGGGGCGGGGGGCAACTCAAAAATTTCAAATGGCAACCCCCATCATGTGATACATCGTTAGAAAGAGCATGAAAAAAGAAAATTTTTGGCGCAAACCGGAAGTCGATCTGACCCCCCTGTCAAAAGTTAGGGGGGTCCAAAGGTTATTTAGGGGGTCCGTACCTTCATTTTTTAGAGTAGCTTCGGCGGCTCTTGGACATACCGTTTCTCTTTTCAAACAGTCCTCGAATACTCCAAGTCTGATACCGAAGTCTTCATATTGCCCCCGGGCCACCACAGCCCCCCCCGTAGGGTGGATGGGCCTGTTACAATGAAACATTGCATTAAAATGCGAAAAGTCACAGAAGAGCTTCAAACTTAGCATCAAATCCGAGTGGAACTTCTTGCCAATGTTAACGCAAACGCAGCCTGCGACTTTAAAGTGAGTTTTCAAAACTCTTAGCCCCCTGCCCCCCCTCATTTTTGGCTGCAGAGCGGGTAAAAACCGGGAAATTCACTACAAATAATGCCCGAAACTAATGTCCAACTTGAGGAGGACCCTTGAAACGTTGCGATCAGTCGGAGCATTGAAATACAAGGACTGCCACCCCCTTAAAGTACGGAAACATCCAAAACACCCCCGCTGCCCCCCTCATTTTTCGTTGCGGAGCGGGTAAAAACCGGGAAAATCGCCAGAAATGATGCCCGAAACCACTGTAGAACTTGACGAGAACCCTTGAAACGTTGCGCTCAGTCGGAGAACTGCAACACAGGAAGTGCCGCCCACTTTAAGGACGGAAACATCCATAAAACCCCCGCTGCCCCCCTCTTTTTTCGTTGCAGAGCTGGTAAGAACCGGGAAATTCGCCAGAAATGATGCCCCGGTTCTTACCAGCATCATCTTACCGGGACATCATTTCTGGCGAATTTCCCGGTTCTTACCAGCTCTGCAACGAAAAAAGAGGGGGGCAGCGGGGGTTTTATGGATGTTTCCGTCCTTAAAGTGGGCGGCACTTCCTGTGTTGCAGTTCTCCGACTGATCGCAACGTTTCAAGGGTCCTCCTCAAGTTGGACATTAGTTTCGGGCATTATTTGTAGTGAATTTCCCGGTTTTTACCCGCTCTGCAGCCAAAAATGAGGGGGGGCAGGGGGCTAAGAGTTTTGAAAACTCACTTTAAAGTCGCAGGCTGCGTTTGCGTTAACATTGGCAAGAAGTTCCACTCGGATTTGATGCTAAGTTTGAAGCTCTTCTGTGACTTTTCGCATTTTAATGCAATGTTTCATTGTAACAGGCCCATCCACCCTACGGGGGGGGGGCTGTGGTGGCCCGGGGGCAATATGAAGACTTCGGTATCAGACTTGGAGTATTCGAGGACTGTTTGAAAAGAGAAACGGTATGTCCAAGAGCCGCCGAAGCTACTCTAAAAAATGAAGGTACGGACCCCCTAAATAACCTTTGGACCCCCCTAACTTTTGACAGGGGGGTCAGATCGACTTCCGGTTTGCGCCAAAAATTTTCTTTTTTCATGCTCTTTCTAACGATGTATCACATGATGGGGGTTGCCATTTGAAATTTTTGAGTTGCCCCCCGCCCCCCCTCCCCCTGGGGGGGTGAAGAACTGAAAAGTACCTCAAAAAGTTTCCCCCTCGATATGAAGAAGGACGCCACAAACCGCAAATCGATATCATAATTAGAACTGAAGTTATGGCCAGTGGTGCGTAACTTTTGAATAACCCTGTATATAATATTCACTGCTAAATGAGCATTTATAAATTGTCAATCTTTTACAAATAAAAAATAGCACGCGGAACCTTTTAATAGATAGAATATAGTCTTAACATTATTTTCTGGTGCTCTCTAAAATTAGGCTCAATAAACAAAAAAAGAAACCATTTAGAAATTATCAGAGGTAGTTTCAGCATTTGATTTCATCCAGATGTTATATCAAATACCCTGAACAGAAGGATAATCTGTTTATCTTTGACGATAAGGACCATTTCTATCTAGTAGTTTTAAGGATCAGTCTAACTGTATCTTGAGCACCTGCCTCTGGGAAACGGCTGATTATTATAACATTTTTCGAAATATTCAACAAAAATGAGCTCAAATATCTAATAAATTAGCGATTATACGGGGTACAAACATGTTGAAAAGTTTACTTTCCGATTCATAAAATTCTTGAGCTAAGAAATTAAACAGGGTTCGTGCAGCCGTATCAAAATCAAATTCCAGGACTTTCTGCGGGTTTCCAAGGACTGCCAAATGAAAATTCAAGAACTTTCTAGGACTTTGTTGCCGTTTTAAGAAAGTTATTCAAGGATCCTCCATAATTTCACTCCTCCCCACTGCATTGTAGCACAGTCAGAGCTTCCGTAATGAGAAGCTCAAACAAATGTTTTTGGATTAAAATTACAGAAAGTAAGCGCAAAATTTAAGTAAATGACATGTGCACATGGAAACCAAGTTACCTGTTTCGGACAAAATAAAACTAAAGAAACACTATAAAATGTTTCATAAACGTGCACCCCTCAAAATACTTCCAAAAGCATTCAAAATGTTACCGACAAACCCTGATTTTCGGGCAAACCTAGGTTTGCCAAACGCCATTTCAAGCAAACCCCGGCCTTTTTTTGACCACAAATGTATGACTGTGTCGCGTAACTTTCTTTCACTGCTGGAGTGAATGCCGTAAGTCGTGTTTCCATAGAAAAGGTGCCGCCATCCCGGGATGCCGGCGCTTAATAGCGAAATAGCTCTGGTGGTGCAGACAGTCATACAACGTTGTAAAGTTTGCACATTACAATTCTTTCGCGAAAATTAGGAGGTAAAGTTGTGAAGTCGAAATTGTTTCTTCGTTTCACCCATTATTGTTTACTAGAATTCGAGGAGTTTCAAGTATATTTTCACGTCTTTTCTAAAAAATCAAGTACTTTCAAGTACATGAGAGTAAGAAGAAAATTCAGGGATTTTCAAGGACTTTCTCAGGCTGCACGAACCCTGTTAAACGTTCGACAGATTGATGTTGGGTGGGGAACCTGCAGACTAAAACCAAATAAAATATCAATACTTGGATTTACTTGAGAATTCATGTCTTTTAAAATAGATGCTTCTAAGGAGATAAAGTTTTAAAATTGATATGCAATTTTTTTGGTGGGACATAGAAAAATAAACCAACCTCACACGATTAGTCTACCCCTTCTCTTTAGAGGAAACCCCTGAAAGATAGACCATATTTGAAAGAAAATAAGCGTAGCAAGGGTGCGCATAAAGCTATAATGCGTGTTAATATCAGGGTGAATGGTCTTATACTACTCAGAGTAAAAACGTTGAAGCTCTATTTTTTAAGTTTTTCCAGGAACGATGTACATTACCTGGAGTGCCTTTCTCAGAATTCTCAGAAATCATGAGATAAATGAGTTTTGGATTGGAGATTCAATGTCTATACTTCTAGAAAGGCTTGTCCAGTTTTTTTTTAATCAAAATTACAAATAAATCTTAACTTTCTTTGAGTACCTTAACAAACTACAATCACACAAATCCAAGATGAAAGAGAGAAATTCTACTTTTAATTTCAAAGCTGATCCCCAGGTTTTCAAGATCTCTACACTAAAGTTATGAATTATCAAAATTATTATTCTGACGGCCGCATTCAGAAAACAAATTTCAGTGTTTTACAAAAAATCTCCATACAGAAAACAGAGAAGTATCATTTTTGGCCTGAACTTTCTCAGCCCTGTAAGCATCCTGAATAAAATATGCTGTCTGATAAGAAGGCAAGATGATATACCATGGATAAGCAAAAATTTTTCTGACAACGCTGGCACTGCCTGTTGTCAAACTTTCTGAAGAGGAACAGTAAGACAAAATAGGGCCATTCGATATAAACCATAAAACTATTCCACAATTCTGTTATATCATAGTTAAACGCCCTTTTGATGGACTGAAATCAAAACTACAATTATGTACAATAACTATTTTACAGTTGAAGAATTCCTAGGAAATTATTCTAACATAAAAGACTGACCATATTACCTCTGCATGATGCTATTTAATAATTTTATGCAAAAGAAGAATAAATCCTTGAAAATTACAATGCGAAAGAGACATTCATTAAAATATTAATTTTTTTTCCATTTTTGGTACCAGATCAAACAAAATTAAGCAAAGAAATGTACCTATATTAGAAGTTTTAGGAAAGTGCCTAACAATTTAGGGGGTGGATTGGATATTTTAGTTAGAGGCCTCCAGCGTAGATGGACTTACTCACTTAATTTTTTCCAAATAGGATGCAAATTAGGACTATTTTAAAAAAAATGAGAAAAAAAAACCAAGGAAATGCTATTTAGCTGAGTTCATTAAAAGGATACATCAGAGTGGTAGACAAAATCAAATCGGTGATAAACACCTAAAAAACAAAAATCTACAAACAAAAGAACAAGAGTGAACAAAACTGCGGTGAACCTATTCAATGAGCTTCTTGGCTTTGAAGAAACGTCTGAGGTATAGAACTTGCCATGTAGCTAAACCAAGCAAGCAAGTCATACTGAATATACTGAAGTATAGCACACGGTTGTTGGTAGATTCTGAAAGAAAGTTGAAAACCAAAAATCACCAGTGCAAAATCAGAATTAGGTACTAGAAAGAACAAAATGTCTATCATTAATTAGGAGAGCATAAACTGCAGAATCAAAAACCTTACTTGAATTAGGGTTGTCATAGAATTTAGTTAACGAAATTCCCTGACACTTCCCTGATTTTCCTGGCGTATTTTTGTAAACTTTACTAACAATTAAAGATATGCCAGATGGTAAAAAGACATGATTTGAAAGAGATACATACGTACATAAAAGCCGCTTTCACAGCACTCTCTGGCGCTCAGTGGCACCTAGCTGCCAACATCCCATATCCTCCCGAAGCCCTTTAGAAAGTTGGCACTCCCGCATTTCCTCTAAAACCCCCTGTTGCCACCCTTTCATTAAGCTTCCCTTCAAATCCTTCCACGAGAAATTCAACAAGCGTCTTCTTCGATTGAAAATAAATTACAAGCAAAATTAAGTGTTCGAAATGTCAAACCTATTCTAAAAAGCAAATAACGATGACTTAACAATTTTTCCTTCACATTTTTCTCATTTCCCCTGACATTTCCAAGTTTCCTTTAACATGTTGAAATTCCTTGACAGTTCCCAGTTTTCTCAGTATTCCCTGATGATGGCAACCCTCTTGAATAGGTACGGGGAAATTGGGATACTTTAGCCCCCTATTTCATTTGTGGCACTGTCTCAAAGTTTCTCCAGTTCTCTTCAGATTATTAGTATTAATTTTTTATTTTTATTTTTTGAGAGAAAGTATTCTCTGATTTGTTGTCATTTTGGGGTACTGTCACATTGCAAAAATATAAAGGCTTTTCTACAGTTACAGTACCACAAAAATTTCTAAGCCCCTGGTATTTATTTTCGAGACCTGTCTCCGTAACAGCAGACAAAAGTAGCTCTTGGAGTGGAACTGCCTACTCGTTGCCTAGTGATCGTTAAAGCTATCAATTAGTGAGTGAAATCAAGATTAATATGATCTTTTCTTGAAAATGAAGTGAAGGCGGAGTCAGCAGTTTTCAGGCATTTTTCTGTCCCCTGAATACATTTAATTTTCAAAAGTTATATAAGAATGCAATGAGATATAAAATCAAGAGTAAACTAAATTTAAAGTTGAAACCATACCATTAGTATCCCGAAGCTGTTCTTCTCTGACTCTCATGTCAGAAAAGTCATCAACAATAGACTGTGAAAGGTCTTCCAGCATCTTTAACTCTGCTTCTAGGGGTTTGAGTTTTGCAGCATCGGCAAGCTGCGACAGCAAAAATAATTTACATTATGAGCTTTGAGGATAGAAGTATAATTCAATAAGTACTAGTGACAAAACATTCCTTCATTGCAAACTATTCTTCAAAAAGGTTGGATTGTTTAATTAATTTTTTTTCCCACTCCTAGGGTGAAATGATCGAGGAATGATAATCAGTTCTCCTCTGCATCAGTTCACAACTGTCAAACTAAGAACTGATAAGTTAAAGATTTAGAATCGAACAAAAAGCATTATCCTGAGGAATAGGTGATACTTAAATTAGTTTTTAACAATTGGACTTCATTTTGCGATAAGGGACTGTAATTTCTGGCTCATCCGTAAAAACACTTGAGCGCACAGGAGAACCAATCGTACATACATTGTTTCTAGACTGAGTCAGAAATGGTAGTTCCTAATTGCAAAATTTAGTCAAATTACTGAACACTAGACCAAACTCATATTCTGCCGTTATGTGGAAAAACGCCACATGAACATTCGAGAGTTAATTTTCTTCAATTAAATGTTTACTTTTGAGGAGAATTATGAATATTTTCTTTTGAAATTGGCAGGTGATTTAAAGCTGATTGTAAATCAAATTTTTTAAAAAATTGGAGGAAAAATATTCAAAGAAAACCCTGTAAATTTGTATTTCATCAAAGGAAATTTGGCGATACCTGAAGGCTAATGCAACATTTTTTTTTAGCACAGCAGAATTGAGCTCTGGATTCCTTGCAAGTACCACTGTGATTTAGCTGGGTATCTTAAGAGGTTCAAAAAGGTAAGGCGAGAGGAAACGGAGAAGTCTACCTAGTGGTTGGATTTTAAACTCGATTCTGATATTGAAGTATGTATTTAGCACTGTAAGAGTTTTAATAAAAGGAACACGGGGCTTTCTGTCGCAGAAAAGGAAATAGGTTGATAAACTGGTCCTCTATAGCCCTGGGCTTGAAGACTCTATTATTTTGAACAATGGGCCTCTAGACTAGCAAGGGACCTTACACTCATGGCTTTTCAAAATCGATCAGCGTTTGGCCAAATTGTAGTTCATGAAAATTCATTAGACACATCTTTCAGCGTTTTTGCCGATGCCCCCAGAAAAGGGTAAAATTGACATTAATTTTTTGGGGTGCGGAGCGCCTTGCCCATAAGATAGGTGTGTTTGCCTCTGCCTTTCTGCCTGACACTGTTGTGAAGTGGATAGCAGCGTCAGCTTGCACTCTACAGGTCCAGGATTCCATTCTTGGCAGGTTTATTTATTTTTCCCTTGGTTCTTCCAATGCTTTCTCTATTTCTTTCATTCTGATTTATTACTTGATTTTTATATATGAGCTACATTTTTATCATTGTTTTTTTTTTATACTACTCTTATCACTAACATGTCACTTTTTATACAATTGGTTTTTTTCTCCTCTTTCAGGCAGTCCCGTGAGAATTGAAATTTATTGGTATCATAATTGCGGAACATGTAAACAAGTTACGAAAATAAACACAATAAATGCGTATGTTAAACCTCTTGCTCCTTGTAGCATGCCTTTAAATTCGAAGTCTTAGAAAAATTTTTGTATTTCCACTTTCAGCTTTTGCACTATGTACAGTTATTTCATTTTACATCCACTAGATAATATAAGGGCGTATTATTGATCGGTCGGACAGGTATAAAGAATCATCATTGGAGGAGGGGAGGGGGAGGGGGCTGTTCGACCAATCGATAATATGCCCTCTTACCTAGTAGATGTAAAATGAAAGAACTGTACATAGTGCAGAAGTTGGAGGTAGAAATACAAAAAATTGTCTAAAATTTAAAGGCATGTAACAAAGAGCAAGAAGTTTAACATGCGCATATATTGCGTTTATTGCTGTAACTTGTTAAAATGTTCCGTGATTATGAGACCAATAAATTTCAATTCTTACCGGGCTGCCTGACAGAGGCAGGAGACTAAAAAAAGAACCATTCATATAAAAAGTGACATGTTAGTGATAGTAGTAGTATCTAAAAAAAAATGTAGCTCATATAAAAAACTCAATTAACAGATGGACTGCGTTTAACAGAAAGGAACCAAGCCACATCAGCTATTGCCAATTTTAACAGGGCAATTTAATTTTTTACCAGAAAACGTTTGTGCGGATCCCTTTGAAAATGTTAAAAAATTTGCTCTGTGCTGTGGAGAAAATTCACTGAAATTTGCACGAAAATCCGCACAACTGTTTTCATGTAAAAAATTAAATTTGGCAATAGCTGATGTGGCTTGGTTCCTTTCTGTTTAACCCGGTCCAAATCAGAATGAAATAAATAGAAATTAAGCATTGGAAAAACCAAGGGAAAAAATAAAGTGTCCTGCCAAGAATGGAATCCCAGGCCTGTAGAGTGCCAGCGGACACTGCTATCCACTTCACTACAGTGTCAGACAGAAAGGCAGAGGCAAACAAACCTATCGTATGTGCAAGGCGCGCGGCACCCCGAAAAATTGGTGTCAACTTTAATACTCTTTTCTAGGGGCATCAGCGAAAACGCTGAAAAACACATCTAATGGATTTTTATGATCTACAATTTGGCCGAACGCTGATTGATTATGAGGAGGCAGGGTGTGAGGTTCCCTTGTAGGTATTGATTAAAGCTTTCATTTACACTACATTTTGCAATTAAGGACTACAATTTTTGGATTCTCTGTGAAAAAGCTTGAGTGCGGAGGAATACTCTTAGTAATTACACTGTTTCTAAACTGAGCTGGGAAATGTAGGTCCTAATTGCAAAATATAAGTAGTCTCTTTGATACTTGTTAAAAATACTTCAGGATATCTCAATCATAGGTTGTTCTCCGAAATTTCTACGGTGAGAATCGTTTTCTGCGTAAAATTTCCAGGAGAAAACATGTGATGTTTACTTCCACCTCATTGTTAGACCTTGACTAGTCACCCATGTACTAGGCGAGCCAGACACTGTTTAGAAGTTGCTATAAAGAGTAAATTAAATTGAAAAAGAAATCATTTAAATTGCTCCTTGTTCTTTAAAGGTAATTATATATTTTTTTTACGGTTACTTACTCCGTCATAGTTTTTGGCTTCAATTCCATGTTTCAGTATTAAACTAACTTCGTGAGGTTCACCTCGTTTTGCTGGAAGCGGAAAAAAAGAATATTGGTAAAATAAAAAAGAAAATACATGAAATTCAATAAGAGATTGATTGAGATTCGATTTTAAAATTTAAGGTGGCCCCTCAATCATTCAGACCTTAATAAGAAAAACTCATTCATATGAAGGAACGCCCTTGTTCCCTTCAGAAACATTTACATTTATTTCACATTTGAATTTTTTGCCACTTCTAGGAAAAAAGTGCCTCTGTAATTGAGGACTTAGTGGGAGGCCGTGTGATAATTTGAGAAGCATGTAATCTCAACCTTTAACACTTAAGGTGAATCAAGGCTTGGAACTTCGCGATTTGGCCACCACGTCGCGCTGCTCAGAATAGCTGTATATATTTGCCAAAATAATAAAAACCGTAATACTTATTCAAGATTGGGGATCCAGGGAATATAGCAACATACTTGAGGAACACTCAGTAAAAAAATCTTCCCAAAATTCTCAAAAATAAAGTCGTAACTACGGCGGAGAGTAATTCCTATTGCGGCAATGGGAGAGAGAGAGACAAAACATAAGGGATTCGGTTGCGTGCTCGGCCGCCGCGGCTGAGCTGAAAGTTTCAGCCGTACTTTCTCTGTGCTTGTAATTCTAATTGCCAATATTTTTGGCTAAAAAAATCAAGCAAAAAATAATCTATATCTTGTGGATCTGCTTTTTGTAATTTGAACAATATTATTTCAGTAATCGTTAAAGGAAAGTGAAATTCTCAGTGGTGACTGGGGGCGCTATCTGTTATCTTGAATTATCCCTAATTGAACCCTGGATTCACCTTAAGATGTGATGGAAGCTGAGCACACGCTGAGCCTTCTAGAGCTATTTCAGGAGGTTCTTGCTCTGCTTATCTCAAATTTTTCTTCTTCCTTTCAGGGTTCCTAAATTTTACTCAGTGATGTACTCCAAATGTAAATAGCAATTAAAGATGCTTATGCTAGGTGTCTATGTAATGTACATGTATGTAATAGAATACTTCTATTCCACATGCCCTCTTTTAATAAATAAACTGACATAATGCCTCGACACTTTCTATGAATTATCTCTGAAACACAAACAAAATAGGTACTCACAATATTTGATGGCAAAATGTTGCAAACATTTCTTGGCTGCCTGTTAGATATATGAAATGTGAAAGAGAAAGGGGCAACATGAGATGTATTTCTGCTCGTTCTGATTTAGGCCGATCAACTGATAATTTTTTCTCATCGAGGAGGCAAATTTTTCTTCCCACAAAAGGGAAATAAAAGTAAAAGTGGCCGACCTCAGTTGGTCCAATGGTTAGCCCAACTGACTACTAACCCAATACAGGGTTTGAATCCCAGCTAGGGTGCCAAAAAACCCTGCATAGAACCGGGGACTAAGTGGCTTCTGGTAGATTTAGATGAAACTTTAATAGATTGGCATAAAGTTCATCGTAAGCACAAAGCCAAAAAATTAGCTCATTCTAATGGGCAGAAGCCGAGATATTCCCGATTGAACCCGGACAATTTTCTGTGCGATGGAAGTAAATACTTAGGCATTTCGCATTGCCTTCCCTTGCCTGTGAAGGGTACCTGGTCCAGGAAATCCCTTTTCTCCTCTTAGTAGCTACAATCTTGCATTGTTATAATTTGCTCCTTTCATACTTAGGCTGTGCGATATGATGGAGTCCAAAATTAAAAAGAGTTGCTGAAACACTGAAACAGATTCGCCTGATGCGAGAAAAAGGAGAGAGTGCGGCCTTTGCATCCGCCGACAAAAAGCACCAAAAACTGTGTGTGAGGTCTGAGAGAACGCCAAATAACAAGAGAAGAGAGAACTCTAAATTCGTCTGCCCGGCTGTGCGTAACAGAAAATACTCAGGGTTCAAAAGCAGATATCTGAGCTTCTAATTGTTAGAATAAGCTAATATTTCGGCTTTGTGCTAATGAAGAGCTTTATGTGAATCCATTAAAGTTTGATCAAATTCTAATTGGAGCCACTGAGTCCCCCCGTTCTGTGCAGGGTTCTTTGATGATCTTAGATCTTGTAACTATTGAGGGGCATGGATGTTCCATTTCTCTCTTTCATCTACTTATCCTTCTTTTTCTCCTTTGGGCCCTTGTCGACAAAAGAGGTCACTTTAACTACCTATCTTAATAACATAACAAAACTGCTCAAAAAAGCTACCATGAGCTACTTAATGATTCTGCTTGATTCTTCAGAAAATCCTAAAATACAAATTGTTCAGATGTTACAGGTATTACTTCTATGCATATTACTTTTATCAATTCTATTCTGACTGTAAGTACCTAGGATCAGGGCTGGATTAACCGTAGGGGCAAAGTGGGCCTGTGCCCCTAGCGGCAAATTTTCAGGGGGCAGCAGATTTTCCAAACTTTTCGGGGGGGAGGGGGGCGCTGCCCCCTCTCCACAGCGGCAAATTTCCGCGTGTCCACAGCGGCAAAATCGTTAATCCAGCCCTGCCTAGGATGAATATTTTCCTTTAGAGAAAGGTATGAATCTACATCAATACTAAAATCAGCTAACATACTTCTGAGTGCCAGAGGAATCAATGTATAAAAACTTACAGGGATCAACTTTAGATGTGAAGCATATTTCACATGTGTCGAAGGTTTCCGTGCTAAAAGTGAGCTTTCCTTTCGCAACATTTTCTTGCCTCCATAAGATCTGATTTTTTGAATCAGTGACCTGGAAAAGCAATTGCAAGGCAGAAAATAAGAGAGAGAATGAGGTGTCTATCAGTCCGCCGAGTGCAAAGAGTTCCAAAATGCAGATTGTTTTTGGTGACACAATAATACAACTTTTCATAAGGTCACAGTTTTGCACCTAAAAGATACTGATAGTGAAGCTAAGCAAAAACAAGTCTTAAACTTTAATGCATGCATCCAAAATTCCACACTCACTTTTTCCTAATGACCATAGAATATTTAGAATACGTAAAGAAGAAGAAGCACAAAAGTCATCTGCAAATGAAGTCAAATGGTTTCCTGCTTTAAGAAAGTAGAGTGTGATTCAAAGTCTGTAAGGTACTAGACAAGGTCTCTGAAAGTATGAAAAGATGTTGATTTGATAAGACCATCATTCATCATATATCACCTTTGCTTATGGTAGTCTTCAGATATCTCGCATGAAAACGTGCCACTCTCGTCCATGCTTTTTTACTGCGTCAAGGGAAACATATGGCTTGGAGATGTAATTCTAAGATCCAAGTGTGCAAGTGACAGCATCAGGTTAGTGATTTTGAGGATAAGTTAGCTTACCACATACGATACTTGCTGACCAGGGATCTGGGACACCATGTAGTCGCCTGTTACAACTACATTTTGCCGGGTCTCTTCCCTCAAGCATTTTCGAGTGTTCGGATGCAGGATGAACATGATTCCATCAACAGTTGATAGAAGTGCAAAATGTATCATCAGCGCTAGACTGCAATACTTGACGTGATCCCTCATTTTGTGAAAACAAAATTTACGGTGCAAGCGACAAAAACACCAACAGACGCTTAGTTTTTAACGAGCATTCGGCGAATCTGGAAATGGTTCACGGAATCTAAAAAAAACGTTTCCTGTGGAAAGAAATAGCGAGGTATCAAGAAAGAACGCGAAAATTAAACTAAGTTCGGGACATTTTGGTGGAAAGATGGGAAATCTAATCGGGAAACTTGTCGGTAAAAGCGGCAAACTCACAACATACGTCGCCGAAATAACCTACAAATAAACAGATTATTGATGAGACTAATGAGACACGTCATCAGCCATCTGTGGTGTTGGCAAAGATTACTAAGGACTCCAGATACCGCACGCCGTATACTTGCCGTAGGAAAGAAGCGGCCCCCCAGTCGCCTGCAGCGCCAGGGTAGGCAACCTGTGTAGCGGTATGCCATACTTTAGCCCACCTGTAATGGAAGCGCATGGGAAATTGGGAAATTGCACTTCGAATGTGCAGATTATGAACGGCAAATTGCGAAAATTGTTCATTTTAGTCACTAGTGGGCTCACCAGTGGACTTAAATGGACTCAGAAAATTGAGCAGAGTTATTTGCATTAATTTTTTTTTCTTTCTTTTTTTTGGGGTTTTTTCGGCATTTTTTAACGATTTAAGACATAAGAAAATTTAATACAGTGAATCTTTAACCAAACTTAGCACAGCACGGCGAAACCGGTCAAACACACGGCAAACAGTATATTCGTTAGCTCGAAGTATGGCATACCGCTAAACAGGTTGCCTACCCTGGAGCTGCAGGGGACTAGGGGGCCGTGTTTTATTCCAATGCGGTATCTGGAGTCC